TTTTCTTTTTAAGGCCAGAATGTTAAGGTTCATGGTGTCGAGGCTTCGCAGATAATTATTTAAGAAATCACTTTACAGGATGTGTTCCAGTTCCGGCTGGTCCGGCGCTGTTTGCTCGCTCTTTTCCACACACTTTTCCAAGTTCCAGTTTACAGAGTAGAGATTCAACTTTTCATAAAATTAATATAATGGTACCTTTTTCAAAAGTTTCTCCATCCAGCCTGGTTGGCCTTCGGTTTTTAACAATTCGAAGAATTTATCATTTCCACCAGACCTTGTTTCGTCGGCTCCTTCTTCGTAAACGTTCATTTCAATCTCAGGATCTTGCTGTGCTTTTGTCTTTTTAGCAGGCTTTTCCTATGAAGAGTCATCATTTATAATAAGCTTCTTTCTGCAACTGCCCCGCTTGGCCAGTGACGTCATCCAATGTGGCGGAAAGTTTAGGATTCTCTGACAGCTCAGATGTTTTTTAGGATTAGCAGAATATCCACACGTATAACAATGATTTTACTTTTAGGTTTTCAAATTACAAATATGCTATTGAAATTATATATCGCCCTAAAGTTAAAAAATGAACATAACCACCTTCTTAAAACTCTTGCCGTGCTCTTTATTTTTCTCTATGACTTCAGGACTCTTAACAGTTTTTTCAGTGCTTTCTCCTGGCGATAAATTATAATTTGTTAGTAGAAAAGAAGAGAAAAAAGATAGCCATGAAGACACTTGTGACGGTTCAAGTGATGTGTTAAAAAAAGTTTACCTTGAACAGCGATGATAGGTGCCAAAAGGAATGGTAGTAAAACCAACGCAGTCTTCATTATTTTTAGATCACTGAAATAAGGGATAAAGTTAAAACGAAGTTATCTTTACTTACAAGACTCCACTATTGACTCTATGCAGGCTCTTGCTCTCTGCCAAGGTGGTCGGGAGAGACCTGTATCCTACTCCCCTAATCATGTTTTTTTTTTCTCCCACAGAGCGTTTTCACATGACGTCACATCCGCCATATTGGAGAACCAAAACAATAAAAAGGTGGAAATGTTGGTGTTCCCTACCAATCATGTGGGGGCTGTTTTTTATGTAAATTTTTTCTATTCTTCCAACAAATTTGCATAATTGCTGATCACGAGAGTGAAGAAGCTCTATTGTATAATTTTGGGAAAAGAATCACTTTTCAGAAAAGCTGTTCGTCTAATAGCCCCCTTATGAAGAAGTGTTAATTCTCAGTATTACGTATATGTACAGGGTGATTTCTGCTTTTTTTTCCTTTCGGCAGAAAAGTGGTTATTATGCTTGTCACTGATCAAATGTGTTTTTAAGAAATAAAGTAATGTCATAAGAAAGTATGTTTAACAAGAAGGCAATGTTCTTGAATGACTGAATTAATTTATGAACTTTCACGCTACGCACGGCGGCTGTTCAAAGGGATAAGAAACGAGTTTACCGGCAGCAGAGCAGTTTATAATGGACGATATACGGTATGAAATGCCCAGGAAAATATTCAGTTGAACTATCTGTTAATTAAACACTAGTCAAATAAAATTCGCAAAACCGAAAGAGAAAAAAATGCAAAAAAAAAAAATGTCAGGATCGAGATGCCGTAAGCCGCAGAGGAAAAGACAAAAGGGCAAGAAGTGTGGAGAAATATCTCCTTTTAAAGCGAGAGATGAACGTCAAAAATGTAAAATAAACATAAAAGAGTTATATTTAAAAAAGTAGTGTTTAGGTAACACAGGAAAATGAGCTTGGATGTTAATAAAACTGCTGTACCGTTCCACAAGCCACTATAAAATAACTTTTGACCAAGCGCCCAATTTTTCTACGAGCGGGTACATGTACTGTAAAATGTATGAAAATGTTTTTAAGACCGGTACTCAAGCTTGTTTATGTTAAATGTAAAATCGTAGATAAAAAAAGTAAATCAAAAGAGAAATGAAATACATTGAGTACCTTTATCGATCTCCTTTTAAAACTGGCTTGTGTCTTCAGCCTCGGCAAGTCTAACTGCATCGCCTTGAACGGCAAGCAGGTAATTTAAAATGTCAAATATTCAGAAATAAGGTGTACCAGTCACGTCGGCCAGAATTGAAAAACTAGTGATTTCGATCTGCCTCAGTGACGCGCCACCAAAAGGAAAACAGGTCTTGACAACATTTGTGTGAAAATTTAAATAACATTAGCAAGTGAAACAAGGTGTTACGTTACCAGCCAAATATTCTTATGTATATTTAAGGACTCTGAACTAATAAGCAGGGTTTAAACCAGATACTGTTCGAGGACGGACACATCAACGACCAATGATTATCGGTTGGCTTGCAGAAGTCAATAATAAACTAATGAAATGCTTATGGGGTTGTTCTATACAGACATAACAAATAACAGGAAATAAGTATTTTCGATCCCCCAAAATTTAGACGGCTATCTGTTCAAAACATCCAGGTAAAATTAATTGTCAGCGTGTAGGGTCGAAAAGTTGGAGGGGAGAGGTGTGGACACCATAACCGTCAAATTGTTTAACGGCAATTCCGGGAGACGCCATTTTGGATTTCCTACAGTAGCAATCTGCGCATGATCAGATGGTAAACCCCTGACCCACAGGGGAGACCCTTAGGCTCGGTTCAGACGCCGAACTTTAGTTCATGAGCCGGACCTAATTCGAATTAAGGCCGACCCAAAATTATTTAGACCGGCTCAATTGATTCAGACGCCGATCTTAAAGCCAGCCGAGCTAAATTCAGAAGGAGAAAAATGCTCATTTCGGTCAAACTGCTTTCAAAATACGTTATAAGAATTTGTGCATTATGTTCGGCGCCCACACAGTCTGTTTAATTGTTTAACCGACTGCATGTAATGTAATTTCATAGTAACTGTACTAAATTCACCGTTCGCTCCATCTGAGGCGGCATGTCGTTAACTATGCAGGGGCACCCAACGAGAATATAGTTCAAAACCACTTAAACATACCATTGTTAAACGTATTTTAGCATTTAACGGTAGATATAGGCATATTCTTATCTCCTGGAAATTTTTGATCTGTTCGGATTTCCTAGCTGAAAGTCTAGTTATCCGAAAATTATAGGGATCAGAAATTACCTTTTCGAAAATTCCGCCCAGAAAAAAGGCTCTCGAAAATTCTAGGTGACCTTTTAAGGGTAAAAACCTGTTAAAAATGGGCAATTATACCGTTTTTTAG